ACGCGTCAGATCCTGCATAAAATAAGAGAAAATTTCGTTATCATGATTAAGGCAAGAGTACACATATTTACAGGATATGAATAGTGATGATGATGTTGTAGCATACGAATACAAATGGTGTTTGATGATGAAGTGAAAGAAAAGAAGTCCAAGTCCAAGTCCGGTGTCAAAAGAGTGTGGGGTATAACAAAATCCATACATCTAGGATGGGTCAATAATTTAAGAGTAAGAGTAAATGAGGGGGATATCGTCGTCGACGTGGATGAGGTCGTAATAAAGGCCATGCAGGCTTTCATGGGCAAATCTCGAACGAACGTTCAGAATTACCACATATGCCACAGCCTCTTCCGATTCCCCGCATTCAGATGTCTCGAGCGCTTGCTCATCTGCACAACGCGCATCGCAGACCTGCGCATCAACGTATTCCGGTCCATCAGCTCGCGCGTGTCAGGGTTCCCATCGTCATCGCCAGATGCACCATTGGACGTGGAACACGTACTCCGATGCGAGCTGGGGCTGACGGTGGTACCCCCCGTGGCAACGGTGTCGTTTGCACTTGTGCCAGAGCCGGTGTTGGTGTTGGTGTCGTCGCCAGAGCCAGCGGTGCTGTTTTGACTGGTAACAACAACGGCAGGGCCTTGGTTATCATTCACACCGAGATTGGCACTGATAGGGAGGGCCGCAACAGGCGATGGATCGGGGATGCTCTCATACGAGTCGATGAAGATGTCGTCTTGTGCGCCATCAAGGAAATTGTAGCGGTCGTTGTAGACAGGTGGCGAGTGGTCCCCTTCAAACACATTGTTGCGCTCGGCTTGGAGCCAGTAGAGAGGCTGCTTGGCTCCGTAGGTGCAGTTTCCGGGTGCTGAGAATGTTTTAGAGTTGTCTGGGTCTGTACCGCAGCGTCTGGCGACTTTGGGAGCGGCGAGAGGGACGGTGGAGGTAGAGCCTGTGATGTTGCAGCGGAATCCGTTCATGTAGTCTAGTCAAAGGTAAGATTAGATCAGTATGTGATTGCATCCTATGAAATGAAAGAACTGACTCTCTTCTCCTCCGCTCTTCGGGGAATGGATCCAGAAAAATGAACAGATGCAACCACCATCGGGGCAAGGAGGCATGCGAGCAGGCACCTGGAAATCAGTGAACCGAGTCCAAACGCAAGTCTGGTTAACACTAAAAATCGTAAAATCCTCAGGCTGGACCTGGTTCACATCACTCTTATACGCAATCGCCAACCCGCAGCCCTCCAAATCGTCGATGCCGTTGGTGTGGTATGCTTGACTGGATGCACCAGGGCAGACGTCGTTGGGGTTGTTGGGTACGCGGATGTCGCCGCCTTCGGAGGAGGCAAAGTAGGATGTTGCGCCTTTGTTACAGGCGATTTCGGCAGTTGCGGGTTTGCCTGCTGGGAGCTCGAAGATATCTCCTGGGTTGGGTGGGTGGGCGAGGTGGTTGTGAAACCACCACTGTTGGAAGGTGTAACCACGCATGGGGGCGACTGGTCTGTTGTCGTAGGGGAAGTCTCCCTGGGTCACGTTAAATCCCCACATGCTGGGATGGAAGAACGCTAGATGGGTAATGCACTTAGACACAGAAACCAATAAATTAAATTATGACGCACCAGAGTGTCCTGACACTTGAGTCAACGCAGAAAGAACCGAGAGTGCGACGATGGCTAGCATGTTGAATAGAATAAGATTTGTGGAGTATTATCAATTTAATAGATATGATTGATCTTTAAAGTCGTAGGTCGTAAAAAGGCAAAAAAGCGCCCGATTGGAAAGTTTGCAAGTTGACCAGAACCCGAAAGAAATAAAAAATGGGAAAAGACAGAAACGAGAAAGGTATAGTCCACCAGCAGACTTGGGGGATAATGGCAATATAGGGCGGCATTGGTGCATAGCTGTACTTTATAGGGACGGAGGAACAATAGGAGGATGAACAAAAGCATTGTTCCCCCTTACGTAATACAGTTGCGAGACGACCGACGTCGGCTAAGCCGGTCAAGCTCACTGAGTTTGGCCACCATTGTTGTACAACGCTGGGCACAGCTGGCAGCTTTATGAAATCAACCCTGTCAATGAATATTAAGCCGCTCTATAGGAAGTCAGTACTGTCAATGTACCTCGAGCTTGAGAAAATGTTCAGACATACCGAGCATTTGACAGTTGACCACCAGGTGCTCTGTTGCGCTGATTAGTTGTTATACTGAAAGGACTACTCTTCCATGCTTGTGAAGCTCTAATACTTTTATCATCTCTATAACTTTTTGGCGTTGCTTAATATTCAGATAAGCTTTGCTCCTCCTCATCGCTCATGATTGCTGTTGAATTATGAGTCTCCTAGCCCTACGGTGGCAAAGTAGACCTATTGTTCCGTGAAAATACTGATGTTTTAATTTTCATACCGACACTAATGAAATGACTTTTACAGAGGACGCGGATCGCTGAAGGTTCGGTTGTTGTGTAAAGGAGGTTCAGAGCAAGAAGGCTGATCACACGTCATTGAGGTGTACTAGCCCAAAAAGGAAATATGGTTTGGCCCATTAGCAGTTGAAGTGATTTAAGTTTCTGTTCAGCCTCCCTTCATCTATTGTAGACTCAAGTCAATGTAATGGCTTTAATAGCAAGCTTTTACATTTATTGTGACTTGGTCTTCTGAATTCTTTGACTTATTGCTGATTGACTCGTTAAAAACACCTGACCACCTGTTCAACACGTTCACTTATCCAATAAGTTCAGCCTTAAACCTCTCCAAGATGAATCGGAAACGGAACGATACACGGGTCTTTCAGGTGTGTTTTTTTATTCAGATTTATTCACCGTTTCTTGCCTTTGATTCGCTTCAACTCATACTCATACATAGGAGAGAACAAACGCAATGAATAATACCCCAAAGGCTTCACAACATCCCAAACAAAGCGTTGTGTTTGAGTGGTGAGTACCATTCCGTAACATCTTGGACTTGTGTGCCACAAAAACGTGCTAAAAGCTCGGATGGGCCCGCAGTACTCAGGGATTGAATATCAACTTCAAGGCACCAATCGTCCCCGTGGGTCCATTTTCCGTAAATGACGACATGTTTGAAATCCCCAAGGCCGACCAGAACACATTGACAAAGCGAACACAACGATACCACGCGGCAGAAACGGCTCTTTCTCAATCCTTCACCAAGTGTCAGGACGAAGATCATATTCAGGAGCTCAGGATATCTGCCCTGCACAAGGCTTTCTCTGTTCTCAACGCTCACGCAGCGGATGCAAGACACAGCGCAGACAAACTTCGGACGTTACTAGCCAACAGGGAAGCAGACCCAAAGGAGTATCAATTTTTATTACACCAACGTTGGAGGGAAGAAAAACGGGTCAACGCCGCAGAACAGGTTTCACAAACCTTAAAGAAGCAATCCTCCTTACCACAGGCTCAACCTCAACCTCGATCAAATCCCTCAGAGGACAACTTGGTTCATTTCCTTACAGACTCTCGCCACAGAATCCCGCTGAACCTCCGACACAGCGCTAAACCTAGGTCATCTGGTGCTAATCGAAGTAGGCCATTAGAATATCCAAGAAGAATTACCAACAAGTCTTTGTTACCACTTAGCCTCAAAGCGCCCAATACCAAAACTCAATTCCTCCAGACTATTCGTACCACGAAGAGCCTGCCGCTTCCGCTTCCTTCTACACCTTCTCGTCCCCCTTTGAAGAAACCAGCACCCATTATGACATCGCCACCACCTGCAATGGCAACTGCAACCTCACTTTCTTCCATTTTCGAAAACGTACCCCAGCCTCCCAGTCCCGCAGGAGGCACGGCAGTCATTTTCCGAGAACACCTTCCTGAACCTACACTCAAACCTGTGGGGGACTTATCAGTAGCAATGCCGACCTATGTTGCAGATTTGCTTTCAGAGTTCGAGGACAACGTTGCGACTGGTGTACCCCTTCAACCGTCTTTCAAAGACCAGCAGTCCACTAACCCCCATAAATCAAGCTCGCGAAATAGGATAAGCGCGTTTATTCCGGGATCGCTCGCTACACGATTTGCGTCGGGTGACAGTGCATCGCCTCGCAAGCCCAAGCGGTCGAGTCTGGGTCCACCATCTTCCTACGTTACTCCTGAGCCACCTATGCTCCCTCCCATTGTCATCGAGCCAGATCTGATGTCCACCAGCACACCCTCTGTCACCCTTTCGCAGTCAGCAGCATCACAAGACTTTAAGGATGCTTCTCGCGGGACGCAGAGTAGCAAGCCATTTGCACGACTTCGGCGCAAGCTTTCCGAACTTCGACAGAATTAATGCGAGCTAGCTACATACCACCCGCGCTACCAGAGATTGGTCGTGCTCTAATCAGATTTCTCCATTCCCCGTCACCTTATCTTCTGGACACTCTGCTTTACGTTGCTTTTTAAGAGTACTCACGACGCTTTCGTTGCTTCATTCAGATTCACATTCCATGCTATTCCATTTGTTCATTCATCCAGTCATTCATCCATTCAATGATTTCATCCCCCCATCATCCAATTCATCACTTTATCGCTTTGGTTCAGTTCGCACCCTTTACAATAACAACAACTATTCCCCCAGCTGTCATTTTTACACTTCACTGCACTTTCATTCCGTTTGGATTGCTGTTAGTTTTGCTTTCATCATGCATTATGTTACGTTACTATTCCATTTCCCTATCCCGGCACGCGATGTTGACTTGTCAAATCCTTGGCTGTAAACATCGCACCACTTTCACCTTTGCTTCTATGCTTTTTTTTTGCTCGCTTTCTTGGCCGTGATACCTTAGTCCACATAGTCCGTTGTACCAGTATGAATAGTCTACATTTTTCTCTCTAGATTGGATTTGCTTAAATAACGGTTCTTGATACGAATGATATAAAGAAAACTTAATTTTTATGAACCTGGTGCATGTGGCGAACGACGCTGATACCACCTTGATGGCGAACATTGCCTAGCGGTTCTTGTAGCTCCGTATGCAACCTAATAACATCGCCCGCCTAGCTCAATCGGATAGAGCGTCAGACTCTTAAGGCGGGTGCGATTCCATCACAACTACCTGATGAAATCTGAAGGCTGCGAGTTCGACCCTCGCGGTGGGCTACTTTCTTTTTTTCCTTTTTAGTTGGTCTTTTATTTGATCTTTCATTGTCGAGGCTGGTGGAAAGAATGTCGTCATTTCAATCAGAATAAATGATAGATGGCCAAATAAAATCAAAAGGAATTAACCAATTCACTGCTGAACAATGCGCGAGGACGCTTTGTGTGTGCTTCCTACATTTCTACGTGGTGGTCGATTTTATTTTCCGTGGTAGCTGTTGTAAAGGAGAATGCAATGTTTTGCAGCGTTACCCACAGTAATCCTTTATGGTAAATTTGATATTGCACCCCGAATTCTCAAGGGAACCACACAACTCGGGCCTCTAGACAAACCGTTGAAGCTGAACCCGCGGGTATATATATGACACTGAGCATTCGCAAAATAGATAATCGACCACCCAGATACTTTTTTTCACGATGTCTTCTCAATCCCAACAATCTCAGCAATCTCAGCGCTCTCCGAAGAAGAAGTATACCGCACCTACTCCGTTGCTTGTTGTGCCGGGTCAGAATTTGAATATGAAGGAAGCTACTACGCGCGATGAGGGTGGTTATTTTGATGGTTATAATATGTGAGCTTTTTCTTTCTTGTCGGACCGGAATTTTGAATTGAAGTGGGAGCTGATTATGGGTATTTTTTGGATTGGCAGTACTGTTGTGCCACCCACTCCGGCTCCTGATGCCTCGACGCCTCCGCCAAAAAAATGATGAGGGGAACTATTATGGATCGCGCAGATTTATTTGTTACGCTTGGATATGATGTGTTCTTTTATTTCGATATGATTATGCCTTTCAATGATATGTGATTCGAACTTTATGCATGATTGTAGTATTAATGTGAGGTGATGACATTGAAGGGTACTGGGCGCTTACACCAGCGTTTCCAGTAAATTACGATACGTCGATTGATTTTTCCGGTATGTGAATAGTTAAATAGGCGTTTTTCATACCCCGAATGTCGTATCGTTGGCTACATCCGTAGGCGTCGATGACACAAAGAGACAGGGCTGGTGTGAAGCTCGATTGACATGCCGAGCGGAGTTTGAAGGACGAATGATAAACAGGAACAAATGCGGGGTCATTCGGAGACGTGCAAGTAACCGACGGGCCTTTCAATTATTTACTTACATAGTTACACCTAGACTTTCTTTTCTTGACAACGTTTCATTTCATTTTCTATTCTTACCATCTAATATCTATTCATTACGATGCGCTCATCACTAATTCGCCTGGCTGAATCCGTATCGAAAGCGCCTCTAAACCTCCGGGAAGCCAGCGCGACATTATACCCCCCAATCCCGTACGCCGTTCTTTCGAAATCCATGGTTCTTGCAGCTTAATACGATATAAATTGCGGCTTCACAGGCTGTATCGAAGGCTACTACGCGCACATAGGAATCTTCCTGCTGACATGAGACCTCTAGGAGACGGATATGTAAAGTCGGGTGAGTATAATTAGATCCTTTGCTACGCTTGAGCTTCTTCTCATTCTCGTTCTGATGCGTAGAGTTCCGGAGACACAAAGAAGTGACGAATCCAGCACATATTATTGGTTTTCTCTCGCAATGGAAAATGTACCTCGATCAGATCCCAGAGGGACCGAATGCGTCGAATTTCACGGGAAGGAGGCTGGATCCTACGGTGTTTGAGAAGGTGAGTTTTTAGGATTGTTTTTCTGTTCTGTCATGCGTTTGGCTAATGATTTCGTCTATTCGAATTGTAGCTGACGAATGAGCAGCTGGGTCAGCTGTATGAAGTCATGCACGCAGCCAAGGACGTATGGAAGCCCATATCAGAACTGGAGAATAGTGCAGAGGAAGAACAGTCCAAGTAATGGACGTTTCAACCCCATAACAAGGTCGCTCTCCCATCAGAAGCAGCCAGGCTTATTCAGTAGGACAGGTCGTGAGTACCTCGCACTGGTCTCATGAGCAACCTTCCTTGTGGTGCAAAGGTTAAAACCTATTCCTTTGACCGGCCACCATGTCCTGCCGTTCCTACTCGCTCTCTTGTCGTGCTCCACACACCAATTTGTAACCCACAAGCCCCCGGGATAATTGATAGCGATTATTGGCCGTTGATCCCGTATCCTCGCGACTTTTCTCATGAGGCTAGGAAGCTCGATTGGCAATGAAAATTCCTTCGCGTATTTTGCAGTGCTTCCCATGCCCCCTGTTTTATTTTTCTGCACTCGATAGTCGATATAATGCCATAGCGCGGCTTGTCAAGACAGCGTGACCTTTGTCTTTTGCTTATATACCCAAGTGTCTCACCAACCCGCCAAACTATCCTTTCATCTACACCTCTCAACTCAGAAGAAAAACTATGGCATCCTCATCTTATGCTGTACATGATTTCTTTGGTTTTTACCTTGTGAATGTGTTGCTTATCTGTATTTGATAGACCGTTCCGAGTAACAATGCTCCCTACGTGAACCTTCCACCCACTATTTCTGTGCTGTTTGAAGCCAAAGCACGAAAGGGTCTGAGCTTTGATCAGATCGCGAAGCAGATTGGTAGGGACGAAGTTTGGCTTGCTGCTGCTTTTTACGGCCAAGTGAGTAGATGACATGCGAGTTGTTGTTCTAGTTTGTGTGCTGAATGAATACATGGTTCGTAGGCCAAGTTCACTGAGGAGGAGTTAAAGAAGGTGTCTGAGATTTTGGGCATCCAGACCTCTGATGCGTTGGCCGACCTTGGTGACCACTGGTGGCCAAACCGTGGCTTGGGACCCATGCCCCCTCAGGATCCTGTTATTTATCGTTTGTATGAGGGTGTTATGGTCTACGGCCATGCTATCAAGGTGAATACCGTTATCTACACTTCGTTAATCAACCCACGCTAACCCACGACCCTCGCATAGGCTGTTATTCATGAGAAGGTAATTTACATTCATTTTTCTAGGTTGTGTAAATATAGACCATGGGCTGATGATATTTTCCTTGCGTAGTTTGGTGACGGTATCATGTCGATGATTGACTGCAAGATTGACATTGAGAAGAAGCCTGACCCAAAGGGCGACCGCGTGGTGCTTACCTTTGAGTTCGTCGTTGACTTTCACATATTGTTGCAACGTCTACTGATGTGCTTTTTTTTCTTACTTCAGCGGCAAGTTCCTCCCGTACGCGAAGTGGTAGATGGTGTAATATTTATTGCAATTACGATGTATATGGGCCTTTTGAATTCAAATATTCTGCTTCAAATAATGTTTTGCAAGAAAGTGCCAGTGGTTCTCGCTATTGCAACAATGCCCAGACATTTTCTGCTGGTTCTGGTGTAAGTGATTCCAGCCACGACATAGTGCATAAAGAGCTCACACATATGACTAGCACCTGCAAATTACTCCGCTATGACACCCCACAGTTTCGAACTGATCGATATTGGATGTCCTTGCTGGGAGTGGAATGTAGTCATTGGTCTACATCTAAATTATGGGTTTTCATTTGTTGAGGGGTATCGAAACCCGTCATTTTATAAATCTCCTTTCGAGTATACGATCCTTATAAAAGATACACAAGCAGACCCTGATTCCTCAGCTGTTCAACACTCCCCAGTTAGCTCTAGATCATCCTTTGAGTCGTCCTCTCAACTTGTCATCTATTCATCATGTCTCCTCTGTCACCATTCCCCCCCAAGCTTCGCATCTCCGAGTCGCTGGCGTGCTCGAGTTCCTCGTCAACTTCATTCTCCTCCTCTTCTGCTTCCTCCTCCGAATTCTCTGCGCTGTTCGACAGAAACTCGAGGACATCATCCGAGTGGTCGGACACCACACCCCCAACGTCCCCATCCCAGTCCTTGGATGGCGCTGTCAAGTCCATGCATGGCGGTCAGCCTACAGGAAGAGCACATTCCAGAGCCACGTTTTCTGAAGGTCTCCCCACCCTTTTGGAAGACGAAGAACAAGCCGTTGCTCCTTCCCCGACCGAGCTGGCCAAGACACAATACAGCCCAGATGTTCGAGGTGCACCCCGCAAAGCGCATGCGTTTTTGAGGACCAAGAGAGCAGAACCCGCGAGAAACATGGAACCTCGCACCATTGACAAAGCTGCACACCCTCCACAGCTGATCATCACCAGCCCGGATGAAGATGTGCAGGAGTGGACAGAGTCGTTGCAGAACCGACAAGATGAAGCCTTAGCACTGCAGGTGTGTGGTTCATTCTGGTTGTATCTTCCAAGCTGACAATCTTCTTTCTTTCCGTAGGCAGACGCAGTGCACCCTGTTGATCATGAGGACAACGTTCCCCAGGACATCGACGAGAGCGATGAGAGTTTCTCGATCGAAAGCACCATCGAGGCTTGGTTGAATCGGGCAAAGTTGGAGGGTAACGAGTTCCCCGGGGTCGAGTCCTTACTCGACGAACAATTCGACTTCCCCTCCTCCCCTTCTGACTCAGAATCCAATGGCAGTCCATCACCTCAACCCTCTCCACCCAGGTCGTCAACCATCTTCCGTCCCACCTTGGAACCGGTTCCCGAAGACGGTGTTGCACCTGAAGTGGTTGAGATTGAGGTGGTCAGACCGTCCACCTTCTGGGTCTTGGAGCCGCTTCCTTCTCCTTCTCTTGCACCGGTACTTGAAGACGAAGAGGAAGGGCTATCCCCCGAATCCATGTACACCCAATATACCCAGCCTACCGCTAACGATCCTTCTGAGACTGGCTCTCTTCTCCTCGATGCCGATGTGGATTTCTCCATGCCTCCCACTCCCTGCATCAACCCAATGCAGCTTGGTGACGCCGACTTCTCACCACTTAATCTCGGCAGTCCCAAGATCCGCACTACCCAGACACCATCTCCTCGTACGCCATTGTCCCCGCGTAACCGTCAGGATATTTTGCATCTGGCGTCTCCTCTGACGACGTCTGATGATTCGAACCACATGCGACCTGTAGACGTTCCAGCCATGATGCGTCTCGAGATTGCGAGGACGCTCGCGAATTCTCATCATTTTGGCCAGTTCACAGAATCCGTATCTGGTTTCGGTCTCGGACTCGAGTTAACC